CTGGAAGCGAAAGCGGGGTAGGTAATTCACGCTCTGAAGAACGACTAATTCTTTAGGAGAACCGCGCGCCGCAGCGGGCATCGCGGCGGCTGCTTCTCGGCGCTCTGCTCGGGCTCCGGGGCCGTGGCCGGGCCCTGGGGCCGTCACGGGCCGAACCAGGGCCCCAGGACAGCCTCGGGCCCCGGGCCCCGGGGGCGGTCCTGAGGGAGGGCCCACGTCGTCGTCGTCGTCGTCGTCGTCGTCGCAGTCGTCGTCGTCGTCGTCCTCGCCGTCGTCATCGGCGGCGGCGGCGGTGGGCGTCGTCGTGGTCGTCGGCGACGTCGTCGTCCTCGTCGTCGGCGGCGGCGGGCGTCGTCGTCGTTGTCATTGGCGGCGTCTGCGGCGGCGGAGTCGTCGTCATCGTCGTCGTCAGCGTCATTTTCGACCTCGTCGGCGGCGGCGGCGGCAGGCGTCGTCGTCGTCGTCGGCAGCGGCAACGGCGACGGGCGTCGCCGTCGTCATCGCCGTCGTCGTCGGCGGCGACGTCGTCGGCGTCGTCGACAGCGGCGGCGGCAGCGGCGGAGTCGGCGACGTCGTCGTCGCCGGCGACGTCGTCCTCGTCGTTGTCGGCGGCGACGGGCGTCGAAGTCGTCGTCGTCGTCGTGGGCGTCGTCGTCGTCGTCTTCGCCGTCGGCGGCGGCGGCGGCGGCGGCGGGCGCCGTCGTGGTCGTCCTCGTCGTCGTCGTCGTCGTCGTCGCCGGCGGCGGCGGCGGGCGTCGTCGTCGTCGTCGGCGTCGTCGTCGGCGGCGGCGGCGGGCGCCGTCGGCGTCGTCGGCGTCGGCGTCTTCGTCGTCGTACTCGTCGCAGGCGGCGGCGACGGTTATCGTCGTCGGCGGGTGTCGTGGTCGTCGTCGGCGTCGGCGTCGTCGGCGGCGGCGGGCGTCGTCGACGTCGTAGGCGCCGCCGTCGTCATCGTCGTCGTCGGCGGCGGCGGCGTGCGTCGTCGTCGTCCTCGTCGCTGGCGGTGACAGCGTCGTCCTCGTCGTCGTCGTCGGCGTTGTCGTCGTCCTCGTCGTCATCGGGGTCGTCGTCGCCGTCGTCGGCGTCGTCGTTGTCCTCGTCGCCGGCGGCGGAAGCGGCGGGCGTCGTCGTGATCGTCGCCGTCGGTGACGCCGTCGTCGTCGTAATCGTCGGCGTCGTCGTTGTCGTCGTCTTCGGCGGCGGCGGGCGTCGTCGTCATCGTCGTCGTCGTCGGTGGCGGCGGCAGCGGAGGCGGCGGGCGTCGTCGTCATCGTCGCCGTGGTCGTCGTCGTCCTCGTCGTCGGCGGCGGCGGCGAGCGTCGTCGTCGTTGTCGGCAGCGGGGGCAGCGTCGTCGTCGACAACGGCGACATCGTCGTCCTCGTCGTCGGCGGAGGTGGGCGACGCCGTCGTCGACATCGTCTTCGTTGTCGTCGTCGTCATTGTCGTCGGCGGCAGCGGCAAGCGTCGTCGTCATCGTCGTCGTCGGCGGCGGCGGCGACGGCGGCGTCGGCGGCGTCGTCGTCGTCGTCGTCGCCGGCGGCGGCGGGCGTCGTCGTCGGCGTCGTCGTCGTCCTCGTCGTCGGCGGCGGCGGCGGCGGGAGTCGTCGTCGTCGTGTCGGCGATAGTGGCGTCGGCGGCGGCGTCCGGCGTTGTCGTCGTCGTTGGCGGCGTCGTCGTCGTCGGCGGCGGCAAGCGTCGTCGTCGTCGGCGGCAAGTCCCGGGGGCCCACGTCGTCGTCGGCGGGCGTCGTCGTCGTCGTCGTCGTCGGCGGCGGCGGCGGTGGCGGCGGGCGTCGGCGTCGTCGTCGTCGGCGGCGGCGGCGTCCTCGTCGTCGGCGGAGGCGGCGGCCGCAGGCGTCGGCGTTGGCGAGCGTTGTTGTCGTCGACATCGTCGTCGTCGTCGGCGTCGGCGGCGGCGGCGGGCTTCGTCGTCGTCGTCGTCGTCAGCGTCAGCGGCAGCGGCAGCGGCGGGCGTCGTCGTTCTCGTCCTCGTCGTCGGCGGCGGCGGCGGGCGTCGTCGGCGTCACTGTCGTCGTCGTCGTCGTTGTTGTCGGCGACGGCGGCGGGCGTCGTCGTCGTCGTCCTCGTCGTCGGCGGCGGCGGCGTCGGCGGCGACAGTGGGCGTCGTCGTCGTCGGCGGCGGCGGCGGGGTCGTCGTTGTCTCGGTGGCGACGGCGGTGGACGTCGTCGTCGTCGGCGTCTTCGCCGTCCTCGCGTCGGCGGCGCGCGGGCGTCGTCGTCGTCGTGTGGTTGTCGTCGTCGTTGTCGGCGACGGCGGGCGGGCGTCGTCGTCGTCGTCCTCGTCGTCGGAGGCGGCGGCGTCGTCGGCGGCGACAGCGGGCGTCGTCGTCGTCGTCGGCGGCGGCGGGCGTCGTCGTCGTTATCGGTGGCGACGGCGTGGACGTCGTCGTCGTCGGCCTCGTCACCATCCTCATCATCGACATCAACGGCAAGCGTCATCATCAGCGAATGTCGTTGCCGTCGTCGTCGTCCTCGTCATCGTCGTCGTCGTCGGCGGGCGTCGTCGTCGTCGGCGTGGTCGTCGTCGTCCTCGTCGTCGTCGGCGGCGGCGGCGGGCGTCGAGGTCGTCGGCGACGACGTCGTCGTCGACATCGGCGTAGTCGTCGTCTTCGTCGTCGGCTGCGGCGGGCATCGTCGCCGTCAGCATCGTCGTCGTCGGCGGCGGGCGTCGTCGTCGTCGTCGGCGTCGTCGTCGACGTCCTCGTCGTCGGCGGCGGCGGCGGCGGGCATCGTCGGCGGCGCCGTCGTCGTCCTCGTCGTCGTCGGCGGCGGCGTCGTCAGCGGGCGTCGTTGTCGATATCGTCGCGGTCGTCGTCGTCGTTGTCGTCGTCGGCGGCGGCGGCGGGCATCGTCGGCGGCGCCGTCGTCGTCCTCGTCGTCGTCGTCGGCGGCGGCGTCGTCAGCGGGCGTCGTTGTCGATATCGTCGCGGTCGTCGTCGTCGTTGTCGTCGTCGGCGGCGGCGGGCATCGTCGTCGTCGGCGGCGGCGTCGTTGGCGTCGTCGTCGTCATCGGCGGCGGCGAGCGTCGTCGTCGTCATCGGTAATGTCGCGGTCGTTGTTGCCGTCGTCGTCGTCGGCGGCGGCGGGCGTCATCATCGTCGTCGTCCTCGGCGTCGTCGTCGGCGTCCTCTTCAGCGGCGGCGGCGGTGGACGTCGTCGTCGTCGTCGGCGTCGGCGGCGGTCGTCGTCGTCGTCGTCGTGGTCGTCGTCGTCGTCGTCGGCGGCGGCGGCGGGCAAGGTCGTCGTCGTCGGCGTCGTCGGAGTCGTCCTCGTCGTCGACGGCAGCGGTTGTCGTAGTCGTCGTCGTCGGCGTCGTCGTCGTCATCGGCGGCGGCGGCGGCGGGAGTCGTCGTCGTCGTCTGTGGCGGCGACGTCTGCGGGCGTCGTCGTCGGCGGCGTCGTGCTCGTCGCCAGCGGCAGGGGCGGGCGTCGTCGTCGGCGGCTGCGCCGTCGTCATCGTCGTCGTCGTCGACGGCGGCAGGCGTCGTCGTCAACACGGCCGTCGGAGTCGTCGTCGTCGTCGTCGTCGCGTCGCGTCGTCGTCGACGTCGGCGTCGTCGTCAGCCGCAGCGTCGTCGTCGTCGGCGGCGGGCGTTGCCGTCGTCGTCGTCGTCGTCGTCGTCGGCGGCGGCGGCGGCGGCGTCGTCGTCGTCGTCGTCGTCGTCGTCGGCGGTGGCGGCGGCGGCGGCGTCGTCGTCGTCGGAGTCGTCGTCGTCGTCGTCTTGGTCGTCGGCGGCTGCGGGCGTCGTCATGGTCATCGTCGGCGCCGTGGTCGCCGTTGTCGTCGTCATCGTCGTAGTCGTCGTCAGCGGCGTAGTCGTCGTCAGCGGCGTCGTCGGCGGCGGCGGCGGCAACCGTCGTCGTCGTCGTCGTCATCGGCGTCGTGGTCGCCGTTGTCGTCGTCATCGTCGTAGTCGTCGTCAGCGGCGTCGTCGTCGTCCTCGTCGCCAGCAGCGGCAACCGTCGTCGTCGTCGGCGTCGTGGACGACGTTGTCGTCGTCGTCGTCGTCGTCGGCGTCGTCCTCGCGGAAGCGGGGGCGGGCGTCGTCGTCGTCGTCATCGTCGTCATCGTCGGCGGCGGCGGCGGGCGTCGTCGTCGTCGTCGGCGGCGGCGGCGGCGCTGGGCGTCGTCGCCGTCGTCCTCGTCGTCCTCCTTCGTCGTCGTCGTCGAAATCGGCGTCGTCGTCGTCTTCGGCGGCGGCGGCGTCGTTGTCGTCGTCGTTGTCGTTGTCGTCGTCGGCGGCGGCGTCGTCGGCGGCGGCGTCGTCCTCGTCGCCGGCGGTAGGGGCGGACGTCGTCGTCGTTGGCGGCGCCGTCGTCGTCATCCACGTCGTCATCGACGGCGGCGGGCGTCGTCGTCGTCAACACGGTCGTCGTCGTCGTCGTCGTCGTCGCGTCGCATCGTCGTCGACGTCGGCGTCGTCGTCGTCATCGGCAGCGTCGTCGTCGTCGACGGCGGGCGTTGCCGTCGTCGTCGTCGTCGTCGTCGGCAGCGGCGGCGTCGTTGTCGCCGTCGTCGTCTTCGTCGTCCGCGGCTGCGGGCGTCGTCGTGATCATCGGCGTCGTCGTCGTCGTCGTCGGCGGCGGCGGCGGCAACCGTCGTCGTCGTCGTCGTCATCGGCGTCGTGGTCGCCGTTGTCGTCGTCATCGTCGTCGTCGTCGTCAGCGGCGTCGTCGTCCTCGTCGCCAGCAGCGGCAACCGTCGTCGTCGTCGTCGACGCCGTGGTCGCCGTTGTCGTCGTCATCGCCGTTATCGTCGTCGTCGTCGTCATCGTCGTCGTCGTCGTCGCCGTCGTCGTCGTCGTCGTCGCCGTCGTCGTCGTCGTCGTCGTCGTCGCCGCCGTCGTCGTCGTCGTCGTCGTCGTCGTCGCCGACGTTGCCGTCGTCGTCGCCGTCGTCGTCGTCGTGGTCGTCGGCGGCGGCGGCGTCGTCGCCGTCGTCGTCGTCGGCGGCGGCGGGCGTCGCGGGCCTCGGCCAGCTCAGCAGCACGGGATGCCCTCCGAGCCGGCCTGCGGGGGCCGCCGGGCTGGGGCCGACGGCGGGCCCGGCGGCCCCGCCCGGCGAGGGAGCCAGCGGAGGAGGAGGAGGAGGAGGAGGAGGAGGGGGAGGAGGAGGAGGAGGAGGAGGAGGAGAAATAGGGGGAGTAGGAGGAGGAGAGGAGGAGGGAGGAGGCGGAGGAGGAGGAGGAGGAGGAGAGGAGTTAGGAGGAGGAGGAGGCGGAGGAGGCGGGGGAGTCGGGAGGGAAGGAGGGGAGGAGGGGAGAGAGGGAGAGAGGGAGAGGAGGGGAGGGGAGGGGAGGGGAGGGGAGGGGAGGAGGAGGGGAGAAGGAGGAGGGGGACGAGGAGAAGGAGTTGAGTCAGGAGGAGGTGGAGTCAGGTGTGCAAGTTTTTGTTTGGGGAAAAGGGGAGGATGGGAGGTGAGGAAGAGGACAAGGAGGAGGAGGAGGAGGAGGAGGAGGAGGATGAGGAGGAGGAGGAGGAGGAGGAGGAGGGAGGAGGAGGAGGCGGAGTAGGAGGAGGAGGAGGGAGGAGGAGGGGAGTAGGGAGGGAAGAGGAGGAGGGAGAGAGGGAGAGTGGGAGAGAGGGGAGGGGAGGGAGAGGGGAGGGGAGGGGAGGGAGGCAGGAGCGAAGGGGGACGAAGGAGAGTGAGGTTGAGTCAGGAGGGAGGTGGAAGTCAGGTGTGGAGCTGAGGAGGAGGAAATGTGAGGAAGAGTGAAGGAGGAGGAGGAGGAGGAGGAGGAGGGAGGAGGAGGAGGAGGAGGAGGAGGAGGAGGAGGAGGAGGAGGAGGAGGAGGAGGGAGGAGGACCAGAGTAGACCAAAGATGTATCAGCGATGTTGCAGTGCGCCCTCCCGTCCAAACTCCCCTCCTCACGAGTCCCTTTCAAGCATTCCTCTCCGCTGCAGGAAGCGTTCCCTTGAGAGGCCAGCACCCTGCCAGCCTGTCATTCGGGTGAGAGCCCCGTTTTGGAAAGGAACTGCCTCACATCCTCCTCCTCCTCCTCCTCCTCTTCCTCCTCTCATCCTCCTCCTCCTCCGTCCTCAGCCTCATCAATCCATCACCTACCGCTTCCCCCTTCACCCTCTCCCCATACCCCTTCCCCTCCTCCCCATCCCCCTCCCCCTCCCCCTCCTCCTCCTCCTCCTCCTCCTCCTCCTCCTCCTCCTCCTCCTCCTCGCGCTTACTCGGGAATGCGAATCAATTGAACACCCACTTCAACGAGCTGTCCGACAAACTCCTCATTTTGAACCAGGGCTGCCCCCATCCGTGCCATCGTTTTGCACACACTTGCCCTTCTTGTCATGAGCTTGAAGGAAGTCTCTCAAGCGAGACCCCGCTTTGAACCACCTTTTACTCGTGAAACTGCTAAGTACATGTGCTGAAGCTGTTGATCTTAACATTCCAGGAAGCCTGACGAGGCAGCCCCGTTTCGAAAAGAATCGTCCTCCATTCTTTCTGCAGGTTCGAACGATTACGCGCGACGCTAGGGCGAGAGCCTCAGTTTGAAAACGCCCCCTACCCCTCCATCCCTGCAACTGTTGCAAACTGGTTAAACGAACGTGCGCGGCGCTAAAGCCAGAACTCCATCTTGACAAAGGCCCCACTCCATCCTTCTTGTTGCAATTTTGTAAGACGAATGTGCGCGGCGCTACAGCGAGAACCACACGTTACAAACGACCCCTGCTCCACCCGTGTAACCCTCGCGATTTTCACGCTCAAGGATCAAAAGCGGTGACGAAGCCCGGAGCGAAACGCCAAGCCCGCCCTACCGACACGCCTGGGGGTGCGACGGGGAGCAGGGGCAGGGAGAATGAAGAGGGAGGGGGAGGAGGCCAGGGGAAGGAGGGAGCAGGGGCGAGGGAGAGAGGGAGGGGGAGGGGGACGGGGGAGAGAAGGGAGCGGAGAAACGGGAACGGGGAACGGGGGAAAGCGTGGACAGCAGGGAGCCTGCCCGCACAGTCCTCCGTTCCCACCTCCCCCTTCTCCGCTCCCTCTCCTTCTCCCCCATCCCCCTATCCCCTATCCTGCGCCCACCTTTCGAGAACGCGTTTGTCCTTCTGCTCCACACCACTGGCACGCACGGCAGCCATCCCTGTGCTTCCGAACCTGCTGCGCCGCGAGGAAGCAGCAGTGGGGAAGGATGCAGGCTGAAATGCGCACCACCTCCTGCACCCCTCCCCGCACGTCCAGCTGGTCAGGCTGGAGGTCGTCGTCTCTGCCGGCGGTGCCCACGTCGCCTCTCCAAGCCCTCCCTCCCCCGAACTCCGACGTCGTGAGTTTTGTCACCAAGTGGATCCCCGCAGATCTAAACCCCTTCCCAGGGACCGACTTTTCACCCCAAGTCGTTTTTGGGACGGCCTCGGGGCTCGGCGAGGGCCAAAGCCGAAACTTGTACAATGGCAAGAATTGGGTGTCTCTCTCTCTCTCTCTCTCTCTTACATCCCCTCCCTCCCTGCTTGGGTACTAGGTGTAAGCATGATCCCAAAGCTCCGATCAAGCCCCGAAAGAAGAACTGCTGCTACTCCGGTATCCTTGAAGGTGCTCACTGGCTGGCTCTGTCTATCCCTCCCGGGTCGTACCGGCGCGCGCCGTATCCCTCCTCGGGTTCGCCCTGACGGGGGAAGGAGCGGTAATGAGCAGAGAGAACGACGGTATATCCCTCACAGTGCCAGTGCCTGGACGGAGTGGGCGTGTTAGAACCTGGGCTTTCACGGGAACGGAGAGAGCACTTCAGGAACTTGCCTAGTGGGCTCACGGCACCGTTCACTCTTGGGAGCTTTGGCGTCAGGAGCTTTTTCAAGTCACCGTTCGCTCTCTGGAGCTTTGGTGTGAAGGGTTTTTTTCACGCCATTGCTCGCTCTTGGAAGCCTTGGCGTTAAAAACTTGTTCCATTACCGTCCGTTCACGGGAGCCATGGTATGAAGAGCTGATTATGTCACCGTTCGCTCTTGGGACCCTGGGAGTTACGAGCTGCTTACGTCACCGTTCGCTCTTGGGAGCCTCGGCGTAAAGAGCTGTTTACGTCATCGTTGGCGCTTGAAGCTTTGGCATTCAGAGCTTTCTGCGCAACTGCTCGCTGTGGGGACCCTTGGCGTGTGAAGTTTGCTACGGCGCCGGCTCGTGCAAGCAGGAGGCTCCACTTACCTGGTGCTCTTGGGAGCCTTAACGTCAAAGCTGCGTCCGTCATTTGGCCGTACCGACGGGGGGTCCTCTGGGGCCCCTTTTCGGTGTCTTGGGGCCCACGTGGGCCATTCTAGGGCCCTCGTGTCTTGGAGGGCTTGGCCCGACTGGGGGCCCTCTTGGGGCCCTCTTACGCCCTCTTGGCGGCCTCTTCCTAACCTAGGGGCGCGCTCTTGGGAGCTTTTGGAAAACCTCTGGGGCCCTTCTGGAGCAGTCTTGGAGTTTGGGATGGCCGTCTTGGGGCCCACTTGGGCGGTCCTGGTTGGGAGCCTCCTGGCCCGTCTTGGGGCAACCTCGGAGGCCGTCACGTCTTCCCCCCTCCTTTTCCTCCTCTTTGTCGTCCTCCTCCTCATCCTCCTCCTCGTGCTCCTCCTCCTCCTCCTCCTCGTCCTCCTCCTCCTCGTCCTCCTCCTAATCCTCCTCTCCTCCTCCTACCTCCTCCTACTCCTCCTCCTCCACCCCTCCTCCTCCTCCTCCCGACTTCTCTCCTCCTCCTCCTCCTCCTCCTCACCCCCTCATCAGCATCATCATCATCATCACCATCCGCATCCTCACCTCATCCTCATCCTCTCCTATCCTCATCAGCATCAGCATCAGCATCAGCATCAGCATCATAATCATCATCATATCATCATCATCATCATATCATCATCATCCTCATACATCATCCATCATCATCATCATCATCATCATCATCGTCATCATCATCATCATCATCCTCAGCATCAGCATCATCAGCAGCATGAGCAGCAGCGCCACCAGAATCAGCACAGCATCAGCAGCTCGCCAGCATCAGCCAGAGCATAATCCACCATCACCATCATCATTCATCATCATCATCATCATCATCATCAGCATCAGCATCATCATCATCATAGTCAGCAGCAGCAGCATCAGCATCAGCATCAGCATCATCAGTATAGATCATCATCGTCATCATCAGCAGCATCATCATCAACAGCATCATCAGCATCAGCATCATCATCATCATCAGCAGCAGCATCATCAACATCGTCATCATCATCATCATCATCAACATTAGCATCATCATCATCCTCATCCTCATTTTAATCCTCATCCTCATCAGCATCATCATCAACATCGGCATCATCAGCATCATCATCAGCATCAGCGTCATCATCCGCATCAGCATCATCATCATCACCACCATCAGCATCATCAGCATCAGCATCACCATCATCATCAGCAGCAGCAGCCAGCAGCAGCATCATCAGCACTACCAGCCTCGTCGTCGTCATCATCATCAGCATCAGCATCAGCATCGTCAGCAGCAGCAGCATCATCACCAGCATCATCAGCATCTGCATCATCAGCATCGTCATCATCGTCATCATCGTCATCATAATCATCATCAGCAGCATTATCACCAGCATCATCGTCATCAGCATCAGCATCGGCATCATCATCCGCAGTGTCAGCATCATCAGCGTTGTCAGCATGACCAGCATCATCATCTGCATGATCATCATCATCATCATCATCGTCATCATCATCATCATCATCATCATCATCATCATCAGCAGCAGCAGCATCATCATCAGCAGCAGCAACAGCATCATCATCAGAAACAGCATCATCAGCAGCAGCATCATAAGCAGCATCATGAGCACCATCAACACCACCATCATCAGCAGCATCGTCGTCATCATCGTCGTAATCATCACCCGAATCAGCATCAGCAGTACCCGTAGTCATCATCAGCATCATCATCATCATCATCATCATCATCATCATCATCATCATCATCATCATCATTATCATCATCATCATCATCTTCATCTTCAGCACCATCATCATCATCAGAATCACCACCATCATCAGCATCATCGTCATCAGCATCATCATCAGCATCATCATCATCATCCTCATCACCATCATCAGCGTCAGCGTCCTCGTCCGAATCATCATCATCACCACGACCACAAACACCGTCGCCACCACCACCATCATCATCATCATCATCATCATCAGCAGCACCATCATCATCGTCATCATCCTCACCACCATCATCACCACCACTACCACTACCACCACCACCACCACAAACATCATCATCGTCATCAGCATCAGCAGCAGCATCATCATCGCCATCATCATCACCGTCCGCATCCTCATCATCCTCATCCTCCCTCTCCCTCCTCCTCGATCGTACTACAGTCGCAAGCGCTTCGGCAGCGCTTCGAATTACGTTTCGCTTCCTTCTCCTAATCCTCCTCCTTCCTCTTAACCGATGACCGAGGCGCCATGGGCACTCATCGGAAGAAGGGGAGCTGACCCATACGAGATCTGGGTCGCCCCATTCGAACTCCCAAACCTGGGGCCAAAGGAGACTCATCGGCGGCTCTCCGACGTGCTTCGCGGAGCTGAGTTTCGAGCGCAAGACGGGCCTCTTCGAGGCCCTCTTCGTTGAGACCGACTTTCGCAAGCAAAGACATTCCGCTCGAGCCAGGGTCCCCCGATCCCAGTCGTGGGAAGTGTCTCGGGCACCGGTGGCTGACACAGGCGCGCGTTGGGCGCCAGCAGGCAAATAACTGCCTGCGGGGACGGGGGCGGCCACTGCGCAACCGTCCAGCCACTGTCTTGGGCGGACCCACAGGGACACGTCAGCTCGGACGCTCGCTTCTTCTGAGGACCGAGTGTGATCGTGGGGGGCGCCCCCTCACAGGGACGAACCAAGGACGAGATGCCACCCCAGGCGTACCCCCCACAAGAAGGACATGCAAGCACTGTCTGGCTCTTGTCGGGCCCAGGCCCAGGCGGGAGCCCCGAAGCCATGTAGACAGGTGCCTGCACCAGGCTTCATATAACCCCAGGAAGCATTTAAGAAACCCCCCGGCGATATCTTAGCACCGCATTTTTATTCGATATTCCGAGGGGCCGAAATAACCGCACGATAGGTTTAGCACCCGGACACACAACAAATTCGCGGAGGCAGGAGAGGAGGAGGCGGAGGAGGAGGAGGGCTCCTGGTGGAGGATGAGGAGGAGGAGGAGGAGGAGGAGGAGGGCTCCTGGTGCCAGGTAACGCTTCCAGGGTGCAGAAGGGTTATCGATTTGCCGGAAGGGGGGGGGGGGGGGTTCTTAAATGCTTCCTGGGGTTATGCTGAGCTCTTCTGTGTCAGCTTCAGTGAGAGGCCTGCTCTGCCGCTGTGGTCGGCTGGCTCACGGCCTTCTGGCACCAGTGCCGTCCGTCCCCTCCCCCCCTGCCCGACCCCGCCACTGCCCCCCTGCGTGGCGGCCCACTGGGCCACCACCTTGACCAGTTGGCCAATGGTCTCGAGCCCTCCACCCTCCATCCTGAGCCCCCCCCCCTCCCTCCCTCGCTCCCCCCCTCCTCCATCCCTCGCCCCCCGCCCCCCTCGATCCCCCTTTTCCCTCGCTCCTCCCTCGCTCCTCCCTCGCTCCGCCCTCGCTCCGCCCTCGTTCCTCCCTCGCTCCCTCGTTCTTCCCCCGCTCCCTCGCTGCTCGCTCGCACCCTCGCGATTCTCCCCTGTGGTGTGGGTGCGGGGGGGGGCTGGCGCAGGAGCCTCCGCCGCGAGCGCGGGAGCTGGCGCGGCGGGGCCCGCGGCCGGCCGGCCGCACAGCGGGCACAGGCAGCTGTGCTGCTCCAGCCACTGGGCGGGAGAGGGGAGGCGCATCACTCAGCCTCCCCCGCATATTCCTGCGTTCCTCTCCTCCTTTTTCTCCTCCTCCTCCTCCTCCTCCTCCTCTCCTCCTCCTACGCCTCCTCCTCCTCCGTCCTCCTCCTCCTCATCCTCCTCCTCCTCCTCCTCTTACTCCTCCTCCTCCTCCTCCCTCTCCTCATCTCCTCCTCCGCCTCCTCCTCATTCCTCCTCCCCCTCTTCACCCCGCCTCTTCCTCCCTCTCCTCCTTTCCTCCTCCTCATCAGCAGCATCATCACCAGCATCATCATCATCATGCCATGCCTAATCATCATCATCATCAGCATCATCATCACATTATATCATCATCATCATCCTCATCATCCTCATCATTCATCATCATCAATTCATCATCTCATCATCTCATCATCATCATCATCAATTCATCAATCATCATCATCATCATCCTCATCATCAACATCATCATCATCTCATTCATCATCATCATCATTCATCATCATCATCAACACCACCAACCACCACCTATCATCATCATTCATTCATCATCACATTCATCACCATCATCTATCAGTCCTAGCTGGCGCGGGGGTCATCATCACCACATCACATCATATATCATCATATCAGAAGCATCATCCATCATCATCCTCATCCTCATCATCATAGCATCAGCATAATCAGCATCATAATCATCTCATCATTCATCTCATCCTCCTCTTCATCATCATCATCAGCATCATCATCATCATCCTCATCATCATCATCATCATCATCGTCATCAGCATCATCATCATCACCATCATCACCATCATCATCAACATTATCATCATCATCATCATCATCCTCATCCTCATCCTCATCCTCATCCTCATCCTCATCCTCATCCTCATCCTCATCCTCATCCTCATCCTCCTTCTTCTCCTCCTCCCCGCTGACCCCAAGAAGGTCCCGAGAAAGCCCTATGCAGGCCCCAAGCATGTGCCACGAAGGCCCAAACATGCACACCCTTCGGAGCAGCTGTTCCAATGCAGGTTTCTACACTTCCCTGGTCCAGGCAACTCGCCTGGCGATCGTTTCTGGACGGGCTGGCGGGGATACTTTTTAGTCAGCGGCTGCAGGCGAGCGCGCCAGCGGCGAGTCCAATCAAAGCGGGGCACGCAACGACGAATTAACCTAAAGCGGCGGGGCGGAGCCTCACGCAGCACCTCAGCGGGGGGCCGGCGAGTGGAAGGGGCTGGCTGTAGCTGAATACCAATACTCATATAGCTCAACGACTACAGAATTGAATTACATACGAATTGAAAAATCAAGTAAATTTTTATTTGGTGTGTTTTTGTTCACGATGGGGAAGGCTGGAAAATATGATGCTGATGAATGGGGGTGGGCGATGCGAGAGATCCGAAGACATGTGAGGCGGGATCGAACCAAGGAGGATACGATTGAGAATGATGATGTGCCAGAGGGACATTAGAAGAGTAGGGGAAGGACGGCGCCGACGGTCGGCATGGCTGGAGTGGCGCGTGGGAACCACGCCCGCCTCATGTCGCAGCAAGCAACTGCGGCAACGTCGCCCATCGAGGCTGCATGTGGTCCAGGCTCGTCCGTGAGATTTTGAACTTTGTGTGAGGCCACAATCCTGAACATTTCGTTGGCTGCGAAAAACAAAACAAAACAGCAATAACATGGGCGCGGGCACCTCCTTATTCCCCCTCCCTAAGTAAGAGAAGAGTAGACAACGAGCGCATCACCGCTAGAGTATGCACATTATAGAAATAAAGCAGGGTACCGATACGCGTCACAGAGCAGCAGACTGGACGTAATCTCCATAGGGTAGGAATAGACCAGAGAAAACACGAGAGTTAGTGTATGCGTCGAGCAAGTTTGTTCCAGTAAAGCGGAAGGTGAATCGAGTACGACTGGCTCCTGAGCAACGAAGCGCGAAACCCACATGAGCACCGACGAGTACTCCAGAACAGGAAAGAGTCATGTGAAACCAGTGTATGGCATGTGGTAGTAGGACGACGTAGAGCTGGTATATACTCATCGTGACGAAAAGCCATACCATGTGCAATTGGGAGCGCAGCACTTGTGAACACCCTCCTCGGTGAAACCTCCTACGGGGCAACGCATCGGCAAGTGTCACTGGCGCGTCCCTTTCAGCTCCACATGCGGCTACGAAGCGCGCGCGGGGTGCGCCACAATGCGTGTGTGTGTGTGTGTGGTCTGTGTGTGTTGGTGTGTGTGTGTGTGTGCGTGCGTGCGCGTGTCTGTGTGTGTGTGTTGGTGTGTGTGGTGTGTATAAGTGTGGTGCTGGTGGTGGTGGGTGGTGGTGGTGGTGGCGATGGTGGTGGTGGTGGTGGTGGCATGTGTGTGTGCGCGTGTGTGTGCGTGCGTGTGTGTGTGTGTGTGTTGATGCTGGTGGTCGCGGTGGGTGGGCGGGCGGAGTGAATGGGAGGGTGTGGGGGGAGGGGGCGGGGAGGGGGGGGGCATGCTAACGTCGTCACTTGGGCCTTAGATGGGGCTCCTCATGGGCCACGAGCCGTCTGAGGGGCGCGTCGTAACGGGCGACGCGGGCGCGCGTAAACGTCGCCGTCGGGGCTTCAAGCGAAGCTCCCCGTGGGGCCACGGGACGCGTTAGCGGTGCGCCGTGATGCGTGGCGCGGGTGCACGCAGAGGTCGCCAGTGGAGCTATAGGCGGAGCTCCCTACGTGGCCACGAACCGCGTGAGCGGTGGGCCTTATTGGGGGCGCGGGCGCGTGTATACGTCGGCACTGGGGCCTTACGTGGACCTCCTATGGGGCCGCGGACCGTGCGAAGTGTGCGCCGTAATGAATGGCGCGGGCGCATGTGCACGTCGCAATTGGGGCCTTCGGCGGCGCTCGCTTTGGGGCCATGAACACTGTGACAGGCGCGCCGTCATGGGCGGCGCAAGCGCATGCAAACATCGCCGGTGGTGCCGTGCAGGGAGCTCGCTGCGTGGCCACGAACGGCGCGCGGGTGCGCTGTCATGGGCTGCGCGGGCGTATGTAAACGCCGCCGCTGAGGCCTTCGGTGGGGCACCCTATGGAGCGTCGGCGCATGTAACATCGCCGCTGCGGTCTTGGGTGGAGCTCCCCATGACGGCGCGAAACGTTTGAGGGGTGCGCCGTTGCGGGCGGCGCGGACGCATGTGGACGTCGCCACTGGGTGGATTTGGCGGAGCCCCCCATGGGGCTGCGGGCCGTGTGAGGGGCGCGTCGCCATGGGTGGCGCCGACGTATGTCAACGTCGCCGCGGGGGCTTTACGCGGGGATCCGTACGGGGCCATGAAGCGCGCGAGGGGTGCGCCGCAATGGGCGGCGCGGACGCATGCAGACGTCGCCGCTGGGAACTCGCATGAAATTCCCTACGCAGTCACGAAGCGCGTGGAGGGGCGCGCCGACATTGACGCACGGAGCGCAGGGCAGGGGCGGGATGATTGGGGGGAGGGGGAGGGCGGGAAGTAAGGTGACGCGTGGCGCCGTCGCTTCAGACCGAGGGCCCCAACGCAGAATTGCTTTGGGAACTGATGCAGCGGGGGTTACAGCGGTGTTAGGAAAGCAGGAAAGCAGAGGGCATAGCAGAAGTGCACAAACCTGTTGGAACAAGGGACGGGGTTGGACAGACGCACTGCGGCCCTGGGCTCGCGCGATCGCGACGTAGGCCTTGTGGGCCGACAAGCAACCCGACGCTTCCCAGGCAACGGGGCAGCGCTGTAGGATGCTGCGCCGCGGCGCGTCAACGATGTCTTCCAGCATGGCAATTGCAATCAGAGCCCGTCGGCGAAGAATGGCGAAAGTAGAGCGGGAGTAGCGTCCGATCGGAATATGGATTGCATTGGCAGGGCAAAACCAAACTAGAACCCCCCCCGCCTCCTCCCCCCTCCCGCATGTGCCCCCCCTCCCCCCTTCCCGCTCGCAACGCCCCGCCCGCCGCTGCCCCGCCCCCCCCCGGCAGCCCACCGCCGCTTTCCCGCGCGCGGCCAAGCCCGCGCGCCATCAGGCCCTGTCGGCCACAAGCCAAGCCCAACCATCCCCCTTATCGCCCCCTGCCGCTCGCCCACGGCGCCCGCCCGTATCCGCGGCGCGCCTTGCAATCGCTCGCTGCCCGCCTCTGCACTTCCACGTCGGGCATGCTCGGGGTCGGCCATCGGACGGCGTCACCGCCCCGAAAGGCCCCGCGCCCTCGACCAATCACCCCGGCGCAACATGCGCAACCGCTTGCCCGCCGCAGCCACCCGCTCGCCCGCCTGGGAGGGGGGGGGGGCACGGGGTGCCAAGGCGCACACGTCTGATGTGCCGCCAAGGTTCGCACCGAAATATAATGCGGAAAGGCCCGCTCCGCAAATCGGCGGTGGGAGGGTGGGGGGGGGGGGGGGGGGGGCAACGATCGCGAAGGGGCGGGGGAGTTTACATGCCCGAAAGGTTAAACGAAAACGCCGGGGGGGGGGGGGGGGGGGGAATCTCAAGGACGGAGGGTGGGAAAGGGGAGGGGCTCTGAAGCCATGGCACAAACTGGGAAGGACGGCAGCGGGGGGGGGGAAGGGGGGCGGGCGGGGGGGGGCTTTTGCAAAAATAAGAAGGACGGCGAGGGGGGGGCGATGGGGGGGAATTTTGCACATCTAGGAGACGGCGGGGATTGCGCCAAAATCTACAGGACGGGGGTGAGCGGGGACTTTGCGCAAATCGGACTACAGGCAGAGTCCATTGCACAGGACACGCGACAGGACACAAGACTCTTCCGACGGCAACATGACCTCCCAGAACCACAGGACACAAGGGTGCCCTCTCGGGGCCGCGACCGCGGTCACCCGCGGCCGACCCGCGCCCCCGCGACGGGGGGCCAACGTCGGACAGGGCACCAAGGGTGTCCGACAGGCCGCGCCGCCCACCGCGCAGAAAAGTAAATCATGATGCGCCGCGCGCGCCCACCTCCCTCTGGGGGCGGTCGCGCGACCTGTCGCCATGGCAGGA